TGTCACCCTGCTTACTTAACTTATATGCAGAGTATATCATGAGAAACACTGGGCTAGAGGAAGCACAAGCTGGAATCGAGATTGCCGGGAGAAGTATCAATAACCTCAGAATATGCAGATGACACCACCCTTATGGCAGAAAGCAAAGAACTAAAGAGCCTCTTGATGAAAGTGAAAGAGGAGAGTGAAAAAGTTGGCTTAAAGCTCAACATTCAGAAAACTAAGATCATGGCATCTGGTCCCATCACTTCATGGGAAATAGATGGGGAAACAGTGGAAACAGTGGCAGATTTTACTTTTTCGAGCTTCAGATCACTGCAGATGGTGATTGCAGCCATGAAATTAAAAGACGCTTACTTCTTGGAAGGAAAGTTATGACCAACCTAGACAGCATATTAAAAAGCAGAGACATTACTTTGCCAACAAAGGTCCATCTAGTCAAGGCTATGGTTTTTCCAGTGGTCATGTATGGATGTGAGAGTTGGATGGTGAAGAAAGCTGAGTGCCAAAGAACTGATGCTTTAGAACTATGGTGTTGGAGAAGACTCTTGAGAGTCCCTTGGACTGCGAGGAGATCCAGCCTGTCCTTCCTAAAGGAGATCAGTCCTGGTGTTCATTGGAAGGACTGATGCTAAAGCTGAAACTCTAATACTTTGGCCACCTCATGTGAAGAGTTGACTCAATGGAAAAGACCCTGATGCTGGGAGGGATTGGGGGCAGGAGGAGAAGGGATCGACAGAGGATGAGATGGCTGGATGGCATCACTGACTCAATGGGCATGGGTTTGAGTAAACTCCGGGAGTTGGTGATGGACAGGGAGGCCTGGCGAGCTGCGATTCATGGGGTCGCAAAGAGTCGTACACAACTGAGCGACTGCACTGAACTGAATACTCATGGAGATCCTGGGCAAGGAGTAATGAACAAAAAGAATGGAATACTTTCAATAGTGTCATATTGATGATTACTGTTGTATAAACAAGATAAAGCTATAGTTTCATTCAATACATATTATACTGAGACTACCTAATTTATTTGCTCAAGCACCACAAAGTCCATACAAACCAATCCCTACTCTGAAGTTTATAATCTAGTTAAGAAACACATTACAATGAGAAATAATTAAAGAAAATAGAAATAAAAAAGCATGTAAACCAAATGCAGAGAATCAATATAAAAAATCACTAGAAAGAGATTTTTGGGTTGATGAATAGTTAGAGGGTCTGGAACACAAGGAAGATGTTGAACATGAAAATTTTGGATAAGCTAAGGCTGTAGAGAGGCCCCAGGTAATAAAACTAAAGTGAAATGAGTGTTGGTAAGAGTTGAATAAACAAAGAGGTTTCCAATTTGCATAAAAAATAGTAATGAAGAAAGGGAGAAAATCATCACATTATTAAAAGTGAAATAAAACAGTGGGTGATCTTAAAATGTGCTTGAAGGGACAGACAATAAGGAGCAAACTGTGGGAGGTAATGGTGAGTATGTCAAAGGGAAATTAAAAAGTGGCGTGCACAAGAGGAACTGACGGACAGTAACATCAGATGGGAAGGTCAGGTACCTGGAAAATGACATTAATTTAGAGGTGAAGGCAGTCTAGACTATGTAGGCACAGAGGGAGAAGCTAAAAGGCCTGCAGTTCTTAACAGAGAAAAACAGGATCTGGGGGCTCAGTCAAGGTGTGTGCTCTCCTATGCCTTCCATGGCAGGTGCAGACCTGTGTGTGAAGCACCCTCACCTACCCGTCCACCTTGAAGACAGAATGTAAGCTCCAAGAAAGCAGGATCTAGCTTGGGTTTCTTTTGTTGTTGTTGTCCTTGTTGTTTGTTTGCTTGTTTTAACTACTGCACTGACAGTGCCTAAAACAGAGTCTAACAACGTAAGTTTCATAAATATTGTTTGAATATTTACTGTCTTAAAATATAACTTAAAGTCTAAATCTTTCTTTTCAAACTTTCCCTAACTCTTTCAGTTAGCAAAACTTAATGTGGAAAACAGATTTTTGGAATTAAGTAAACCTATAGTCAACCATGGACTACCTACTGTTCTGATTTTCAGTTTTCTCATTTGGTAAAGAGAGAACGTTCTCCATCTCACTGAGTTATAGTAAGGTTTGGAGGTTAACGGCCTTTCCTGGTGGCTCAGTCGGTAAAGAACCCGCCTGCAATGCAGGAGACCTGAGCTCGATCCGCGGATCGGGAAGATCCCCTGCAGAAGGGCGTGACAACCCACTCCAGTATTCTTGCCTGGAGAATCGCCATGGACAGAGGAGCCTGGCAGGCTGCAATCTATGGGGTCACAGAGAGTTGGACACGACTGAGCGACTAAGTACACACACGGAGATTATCAACATAAAGTGCCTAGCTTATAGCCAGGCACCTATTAGTTACCCAGCGCACAGAGTTATTAACTAAGAGCAGGTATCACTTGATCATATTCTCTTCCCCTTGATCAAATGTTGGTCTATTTCTGATTTACAACATTTATCACTTGGTACTAGAGTTATGCTATCTGTCTATCTTCTCTGCCGTAGTCCACCAGCTTTTTAGTATACCAAATACCAAATGCTTTAATGAGCCTAGGAAGAGTCTCTCTCAAAATTTGGCATAAGCCTTTTCTCAGTCAAGTGTGTTTTATATATTCAACTAGACTTCACTACCTCCTCTTCATGTCTTTTCCTCTTGCATCTTAAAAGTACCTAGGTTAATGTTTATCTTCACTCCTGGAGTATGAGCTCCATAAAGTCAGGGGTGTTACCTTCTATTATAAATCCTGTGTGTTTAGCTGCTCAGTCATGTCCGACTCTTTGCAACGCTATGGACTGTAGCCCGCCAGGCTCCTCTGTCCATGGGGATTCTCCAGGCAAGAATACTGGAGTAGGTTGCCATGCCCTCCTCCTCCAGGGGATCTTCCCAACCCAGGGATCAAACCCAGGTCTCCCACATTGCAGGCAGATTCTTTTACCAACTGAGCTACCAGGGAAGCCCAAGAATACTAGAGTTGGTAGTCTATCCCTTCTCCAGGGGATCTTCCTGACCCAGGAATCGAAGTGGGCCTCCTGCATTGTAAGCAGATTCTTTACCAGGGGAGCTGTCAGGGAAGCCCTGGTTCCGTAGTAAACTACCCTGGGCATACATATTCATAATAGGAAACAGGCGATGAGTATGAAAATTATAAACAAGACATCTTCTACAGAATTTATTCTTAGAAATAGAGCAGGGGCTAGTGAAAGAAACTGAATTCAGACAGTTTAGAAACTCTGTCCAGCAGAGAGTTTTGATTAAGGAATCCAAGGTACCATGAGAGTTTAGAGAAGCATGCCTTACTATATATGCATATATATACAAATATATTTATTCTTGCTTCGACATTGAAAATAGTGGCCACTGAATTTTATTTGAGAGCTGGCCTATGTACTTTCAACTCATTCCTGATGCCAAGAACCAGTGTTATTTAAGAGCACTCACTAAGCTCTCACAGTGTGCAGAGCATAGGTTGGAAAAATGATCGTTAGACATGGAGAGACCCATCTCTTCTGAGATTGGCAATCTAATTAGATAGATAAGAAGAATGAAATGAATGTACTCAGAGTCAATTTCATATCATATTCTCAGATAAAGTTGACACTTCAGTGACATCACCATGATATCAAGGAATAACACTTGGATGTGGAAATTCAGCGAAAGCAGTGAAATCAGAATCTTTCAGTTGTCATCTGGTATCTTGTAAAATAAGAAAATTATTGCATTTTCTGTTCATTTCAACTAGTTGCTGTGGGCTTAGCCACAATGAGTAATGAGTAAGCTTTTTTACTTTATTCCTTGAATCTAAATTTATTATCCTACTTAAATTAAGTAAGTGATATCTAACTAAGCATTGTAGGGCATTTATAAAATTCAAAAATCTATTCATGTATTTGAACAAAAGCATTGATTTTTTTTTTCCTGGAAATTATGGTGCTTTTGAGCATCTTATAGCAAATCCAAATCTTAGTTTCAAATAAAGGAAATAAAGTACTTTGCCTATTAAAATTATATGAAATCTATATTTTTAAAGTATGGCCTCTGGTAGATAGGATATTCTGTGTAAGTAGGACACAATTTCATTATTTATTGATTCACATCTACTAAAAAAAAGCACATTATTTTATTTTTAAATGAATGGTATTGGTACTATGTAGCTATTTTAATGTACTGATGCCAACATAAAGCTTACATTTTTCATTACTCTTTCAGAATGGTTTGCAAACACTGAGGGAAAAGTATTTTTCAGTATTATACTACATTCACTTTTTAGTATTATGTAATTTACTTTGACACATTGCTTTTTAGGGTTATTGTTGGAGAATTCAATGTCATGGAAATGCACATTTAGCAAAATGTAAAGCTAGTTTTAGTTTGTAACACTTTAAAAAATAATGTAAATTAGGTAGCTATAAATGCCCTACTTAAAAAAAAAAAAAAACCAGCAACATGTATATGTAAAATCAAAATGACGGTCTCAGAGAGGAGATTTAACTTAAATGGCTACTAGTAAACCCTGAACAAAATGAAATGATCAATACTCCTATCAAAAAAACAGTGTTGTAATTGTCAAGTGAAATTATAAGGATCTCATAAAGATGTGCAAACCAAAGATAGAGTAGCGGCAGCGCGCCTGGAAGTGGCTACGCTCCCAAGCAAATCATCTCGATTAGTTCCTATTCATGATTGAAATTATGGCTTTTTTATCTGTTCATAACATGCAGCATTTTTTAGCCTCACATTTCTAAGCATTTTAGCTTTTGCTGACATAAATGCATTCCCCAAATAGAATGTTACGAGAATCTTCTGCTAGACATTTAAGCCCATTTGTGCATTTCTTTTCAAGATACTTCTTTTGAACCTTCTAACTGTGAAAGGTCTGGGAAGGTGGTGTTAGAATGAACGAGAACTTGTTTTCTAAAGCGACACTGTAGACACTTGATCTACCGTTGGAAAAAAAAAAAAGTCACAGCTTCCTACCTTGAAAACAAACATTTCCCGGCGAAGAATAGCTAGAGTGTTAAAGTTCCCATCGCAGATGTTGGGTTTGGCTCCAGGATAGGAAGGTCTGCCAGTGGGAGGCCGCGGAGGTTTGGGCCGGTCGTTTTTCCTTGGGTCAGCGGGAGGAACAGAGCGGTGTGGGGGCACCGTTGGTAGAGGTCTTGTTGGTGGAGGAATCTTGTCAGGTGGACCTTTTGAAAATATGAGGACAGCACTTGGTTCAGTTAAAATTGGAAGAGTGCTGGAAAAAATGCTACAGGGGACAATCACTCATCAGTGAAGGGTTCTGACTAAGTGAGCTAAGAGGTCTTTAAGATTGTATATTTACTGAAATAACAAACCGTTTTACCCAACAAACCATTGCCAAGTCCATCAGAAACTGTCTTTATCATGCTGAATTCTAGGTCCAAGTAACTAGGCCTTCTTTGTTAATTTTTAATGATTTTTTTTAAATAGCTTCACCACAGTCCTTATTGGATATGCTGCTTTGAAATCTTTTTTGGAAATAGGTGGTATATTAATAATAAATAAATTAAAATGAATGCTGGAACCCTGCATGTAAACACTACCAAAGTTAATCCTAGATTTTGATAGATGATTCTATGCAAATATTTCTAAACATTAACAAATCAAAGTTTATTCTATCCTATGTATCTAACTGTATTTTATAACCTTTTCTTGACTTTCATTATTTTTTTCTAATGAAATGTTTTGACAAATTGCTAGAATAGTGTTTCATTTGAATACTAAATCTAAAACACCTATTGATTAAAACACCATGAGGTGAAATATTAATGTGAAGAAGTATTTCTAAAAGGAGGTTTCTAAAACAAGCCAAAGTTTATACATGTAATTTGGTACAGATGTAAACCATCATTCCTCAAGGGGTTTATGTTTTAAAAAAGAAATACAGAGCTGTTCACACTTAATATTTAGATATGGAAAGAATACTCTTTTGCAGACCTTCAGTCTAGACTACTAATTCATGAGGTCATGAGAAAGAGCCTCCTTTCAGTTAACTACTTCAGCAGAATGTCTGATGACATACACATAGGCAGAGGCTAGCTCATTCAACATATAAGCTATTTAGTTTTGAGTCCCAGACATTTCTGTTTTCTCAGTAGCTCCCCAAAAGAGAGCAGCACCAAACCTTTTTCCCACAAAACTTATTTTAGCCCTGAGAGAATTCTCACCACTGTGAAGTTGAAAAACTAATAAATGCAAAACAAATTAGTGAATTTAAACGATGATATTTGAAAATGTAAATTATACTTTCTGAATACTGAATATTAATATACACATTATACACATATATAAAGGACACATTTACCTTTGTATTGTAAAATGAAAGCTTCATTTTATTAATTTGATAAAGCATATTCTCTACATGTAAATTATAAATGTCAAGTTCTTAACAGTTAAACTTTGGGTGAAATACATGTCTTTATAAAAGTCAGTGGTCATGTTGAGGAAGTTAGGATTTAAATATGTGTAATAGTCTCTCTCCCTTTTGTCTTAATTTGCCTTCATTGACTGAACTCCATAAATTAAAATGATTCTACTCTACTAGAAATTTGTTTTGAATTATGTGTTAGTAAACTTAGCCATTTGTTATTTTTCACTCTTAGTCAATAACTACCTGCTTTTGAATTTATTCTGTTACATCCATCACACAAGATTGTTTTCAGCATTTTCAAAAATGGTTTGTCTAGGATCTAATATCAAACATCAGTGAAAATCAATCTGCCAGCTTTTATCAAAGTCCCAGTCTCTTCTAGGAAAGTGCTAACTCACTGTTTATTGGTTATATTAATATATTACATTTTACATGAATTTTAAATACTAAAGTTTATCTGATCTTTACTATAATTCCAGGTTTCAGTTAAACTCAGTACAAAAAGTTTATCAATGCCTAGACTTTCCCATAACCTGCACATTAAGATATCTGCAATTGGTGCCAACCAAACCTGACTGATAGAAGACTTTTGCCAATAGATCAGATCTTTATTCAATATTTATCTCTCTAATACAACACTTAGAGCATCTACCTCAAAAAAGACAACACAGAAGGAATTCTGCACTTCACTACAGAGTTAACCGAACAGAACCAGCGGGGACCTACCGTATATCTTCTGGATGCCCTGCAAGTCGTCACTGGGCAGCTTGAAGTTGTCGGTCTCCATGTACTGGTAAAAAGGGGCCATGATGGCCGTGGGGTCGTTGGAATGTTCCAGCCCCAGAGCATGTCCCAGCTCGTGAACCGCCACGAGAAATAAGTCATTTCCTGTGCAGAGGAGAAGACAGTGCGTCGCTGCAAGTGATATCCAAACACAGAATTGACAAGGACAATTGGTATTACCAAAATTTTACCCAAGAAAAGTAAGAGGAACTCTTTACTTCACCTATCAGTGTGATTTTATCACTGGATTACCTTTGGGTAAAATCCAACATGTTATTTTAAAAAGGGGAGTGGGGGTTGGTGGTGAAGAGGTGATAGTGAAGTCACAAAAATTTAGAAACTTAGAGAGGAATAAAGAACAAAAGTTGAAGAGAGAACAGTAGCATCAGAAACTGCTACAACTGCTGTTGAAATATCCTAGTTAGGAAACATGCAATATACTATATCTCATTTCTGTGGTCTTCATATTGGACATAATCCTAACAATAATTCATCAAAAAATACAAGGTACAATACCTACTGTTTCACAAACGAGTAGATTAAGGCATAGGGAGTGACAAATTTTGTCAGTAATAGTAAATCTTTGTATTTAAAGAGCTGTGATTAGAATTCAGGTTATTATAATTCCTAGAAGATGGTTTATCTTTCTTACCGGCCGAGAATATAGGAATATAGGAAAATAAATAAAAAGTAAAATAAAAAGTCATAGGGTAGCAGTCATAAAAACTAGGAATCTAGTCTTAGCTCTGCAAATACAAATTATAATCAATTAATACATGATCTGAACAAAATATATTTGTCTTAGAACTCTCAGAGACACCTAATCTGACTTTGTGTGATCAGACCCCTGCGGATGGCCTCTGCATGCTGTCCACTCTCGGATCATCATGTCAGCTCCTGAGCACAGAGCCAGCGCTTCATGGATATCTGTTCATTCCATAAGTTTAATTGAACCACATGAGTATCAACGCATTGGGGCTGTTATTCTTCAGAGAGTTATGTCTCTAAGTGATAAGTTTAACATGGCTGAACATAAAGTGTAGTTTTACATGGTTGACTTGTTACAAATGCTAAAGATTTCAATGAACTTCCTGAGTCTCACTTTAAGGAACATTCCTTTCCAACTACTTTTACAAGGTAATCACTGTGGTAATTACCCTTCAGAGGGCTATTTTTTAAACATAAAAACTGGGTGCATAAGCAGTATTTCTTTTTATTCCATTCTGAAGTAGTCTGTCAGAGGGAAGGGATGAAACCGTGGGGCTGACTGCACGCAGGAAGGAGCCATTCGAACACTGCCGGGGCTTACCTGAGTTTCAGGGAATAGCTGTCTATATACCAGGGGGAAACAAATTAAAGAGGTTTAAAAAGAAACAGAAGTTAAAAGAAAAATAATGTAATATGTATGATCTGTAATAAAAATGTTGACTGCCTTTATTAAGTTTATAAAGTTTACTAATCTGCTCTGGGCCTTTTGACCTGTGAGAAAACCTGTATTTTCTCACTTAATTCCCGCAGCTCTCCAGTCACTTAAAAAAATCAGAAAACAAAGCTTGGAGACATTAAATACAATTTGCAAGTTCATGTAGTAAGACATAGGTGGACTTCTGTCCTCCCAGCATTACATTCTAATGGGGGAGACCAGAGAGAAACATGACAGAAAAGCAAAATAAACAGGATGTTACATAGTGAAAAATGATACAGATATAATAAGGCAGAAAAAGGACAAGTCAGAGAGGAAGTGGAGCCTAGAATATATAGGGAATCTTAGAGAACAGTAATGGTTTTGCTTTCTAGGCTGACTGCAGTGGGGATCATTGAAAAGCTTTGCACTGAGGAGGGACATAATCTGACTTACATTTTGGCAGGAACTTTCTGGAAATTACTTATGAGAATCAAATGCAGTGGGTGAGAGACTCAGCATGATTAAATCTCTGATGTTAGTGTAGGAATTCAGGCAAAGATACTAGTGACCTGGCCCAAAGGGGGAATAATGAAGGTATACAGAAGCAGCAAAATTCTTGGTACATTTTGAAACAAGAATCACATAGCTTCTTAAAAGACAAAATGTAAGGTGTGAGAAAAGAAAAAAGCCAAAGAGAACACCATGTCTTTTGATGCCAGCAACTTAAAAAATGAAGATACCATACCGGATGGAGAAAACACTAGGAAAACCTATCATTTGTTGCCCTTTTTTTTTTTTGGTGGAAGTGAGAAGTGGATAGCCTTACCAGGAGCTTATTCTTTGAGTGTTAAAGATGGCCATGGAAAATTCTTGGAGATTCAAATAAATAAGGGAGTGATTTTTGACCTGCCACAGTACTTATCTCATGTAAGGAAGGCAGTGATTACATTATGGGATGAAGGATTGTAGCAAGATATGGTGATAAGATTAAGATCATCTCTTAAATAATGTTGCAAAAGGATATTTTGTGTCTTGAGACTAGCAAAAGTGAGCTGGAGAGATACTCTGTGGCAGTCATAATAGATATCAGAAATTGAGAGTTGTAAGAGCAAGGTCAGGGTATACCCATGGGAGTGAGTCTCTGAGTTAGAATGGAATACAAACTCACTGGATGGGAGATCCAATAATGTAGAGGGCTGAACACTGGAAAAATTTATCTACACGACCATTGAGATCACCAAGAATTAAAATAAATGTGGCATTCAGCAGGGGAAGGAAAGAGTAGGGCAAATTGAGAAAGTAGCATTGACACATATACTCTGTCATGGGTAAAACGGACAACCAGCAAGAAGCTGCTGAATAATGCAGGGAGCCCAGCCTGGCCCTCTGTGATGACCACGAGGGCTGGAATATAATCATGACTGATTTGCCTTATTGTACAGCAGAAACCAACACAGACTTGTAATTATCCTCCAATTAAAAGTTAAGTGATATTGAGGGGAATGGGATCAAATTGAGAGAGAAACTCATCAAGGATTAGGGAGAAAAATGTGAGTGCTAATAGATGACTACAGCAAGGGGAGACAGTGGATGGAACAGTCTGACAAAATCACAGTCACAGCTTGATGTTTCGATGGAGGAGAGTGGGAGTATGATCTTGCAGTGGCATTAAAAAGAAAAAAAATATAAGAGGGCATGCATCATAGCTCACATCCTGCAGTAGAAGGAATGTGCGGGAGAAAACAGCTAGCATTTTGAAGGAATGGAGAGACTGCTTAGATACCAAAAGAATCTAAAGAGAATATTTTCAAAATAAGTTGATTATTATTAAAGAGGTTTTGATGACAATGGACTTGGAACATCTCTGGAGCGAACAGCTTCAGCAGAGAGAAGGAAGGAAATGAAGGCAGAAATGGCAATGTACAAATCACAAGAGGATGAGAGTCCCGGGGCTAAGGGCTGGCCCGTGCTTCCTGTCTAACAGATGAGAATGGGAGCAGAGGGCCTAAAAATAAACCTCATGATCCCAAGGTATCAAATGAAAGAGACCACTATTACTTTAAGAGTACATTTAAAGGAATTAAAGAGCATGGACAAAGCAGGGAGTGAAATTTCAGGGGGTATACAGGAGAATGTAGAATGGGAGAAAGCACAACTTCCTGCACCCACCTTTGCTTCAGTTTTTGTTATTTTTCCTCTACTTACAAGATACTTCCACATGCTTCAGCAAGATAGCCACGACTTTTTATCCATATTCCTTTCTCCTCCTTTCCTCTCCTCTATTTCTTTTCTTTTTGTTACCATCTTTCTAGTTATGTAAGCATGTGCTTGCTCAGCCCTGAAGGTAAGTGCATGAACTGTCTTCCTTCTAGAACTGAAACACGCCTTCCTTTTCCTGGTGTGTTAAGGTGAAGTGAAAGTCACTCAGTCGTGTCCAACTCTTTGTGACCCCATGGACTGTACAGTTCATGGAATTCTCCAGGCCTGAATACTGGAGTGGGTAGCCTTTCCCTTCTCCAGGGGCTCTTCCCAACCCAGGGATCAAACCCAGGTCTCCTGCATTGCAGGCGGATTCTTTACCAGCTGAGCCACAAGGGAAGCCCTCTTGGTGTGTTGGATGCATATCAAGCTGACTTGGTGTGACTGCTCAAATGTTACTTTCTCTATGAAGTCCTTCCCCGAAGGGTACTATTACCACGTGCCCTCATTTTGCTTCCATAACCCACTGTGCATCACCTTATCATTAAAACTCAGTTGCATTTTATTGTCATCATCTTTGAGCAGGTCTTCCCAACGTATTTTGAATTCTTTAAAGACTGAACTTGTGCATCATATAACTTGGCATCCTCCATTCAAAGATATTGTGACATTTAGCAGATGATTAATTGTTAAATGAATGAATGAATGTGTTTCCAGGAAGTGGAGGACTAATTAGAATTTGAGTAGTAAAGAACAGAATGTCATTTTCACCTAAATATAGCTCAGATTTTTTCTTCCCCCTACAAGCTTTATTGAAGTCAATTGACAAATAAAACTGCAAAATATTTAAATTGTACACTGTGGTGGTTTGATATATGTTTACATTGTGAAGGATTCTCCTCAATGAGTTAATAAACACATCCATTACCTTTTTTTCTTTTTGGTGAGAACTCTTGCATCAAATTGCAGTGATAAAAATTCAGTGTCATCAACTACAGTCACCATGCTATACATTATTTCCTTAGAAATTATTCATCTTATAACTGAAAGTTTGTACCCCTTTAACAATCTTTTTCTATCTTCCCAACCCCCCAATTTTTTTTTCAGACTATCATGGATAGAAAGAGAACGAAATGAGATGAGAGGAAACTGAGGAGACCACTATTCTTACATGGCATCAGACAGTGGAACTAAAATACACCAACACTCAATAAATGTCACTAAGTTGCTCAAAAAGTGCCAGAAGATAGTTGTGTTTGAAGTAATGAAAAAGGCTATGGTCTATAGGAAATTGCTGAAGAGTGCAGAACAAGTTTGCTTTTCTAAAATATTTTAGAGGAGGAATTATAATGATTGGAGGGACTAAGGACGGAGAATGGGATGTTCACAATGTTTGGATAGTGGAAAATCAAAAGGCACAGGAGGTCAGATTTACTGGAAAACAGGACTTTTAAAGATTACATTTTGTTTTAAAATTTTAAAATTATACAATGAAACATGC